CGTCAAGTTCCGTGATTTACCCTGTATATAATAGCTTTTGAGTTAGATAAAGAAGTACCTTCGTTTATCGTATCTAAGAAACGAGTTAGAATCGGATCAAGAATAGTGAGTGCAAGTGAAAGAGAGAGAGAGAAGGAGAGAAAGAAAGAAAAAAGGTAGAAGAGTAAAGGGGGCGACTAAGAGGAATCTAGGAGTCTTCGACAAAAAGAAGAAGAAGAAGAGGAAGGGAAGGTTTAGGGTGATTTCAGGTTGGAAGAGTAAGAGGTTTCTCTCCGTGAAATAAGAAGAAAGAAAGATATAAAGTCGGCGATTCATGAGGAAATGGTGTCGATTTATTCAGTCACGGGCCATGAGATTGAATAAGAACTAAATAATAGGCTCCTGACCAAATTGCCAGTCAAGGTGCCACACCTGACGCCTATTCCAACGATTTCCTAGAACTGCTTGCTACCCCTTTCGTATTACGTCGTTCAAGTTACCTACGACGTGTTTATCGTTTCCCGTACTTCGAAACGATCGATCGACATACTTTCGGTATTTCGTATACTTTCGCAAAAGAAAATGCGAAAATCTACCAAGTCGTACATTTACGTGATTACCTTAGCATTGAATTCTTACTTTGATGTATATATTTATATACAGAGTATCGTTTGATATTTTTACAGAAGATGTTTTACCTTTAATCGGATCTGGATATGTCGAAATTCTCATTAAAGATGAAAAAGGTACATGTTTTCACTTTTCTATCAAGTTTTTATACTTAACCTTATTACTCAAGATATATTTAGGTAGATATCATTAAGTATTTACAGTAATTTGAGAATAAATTACTTGTTATCGATATATCCTACATATATATTTCTTTAATATAAAATTATAATACGTATATAAAATATATTTATCATATTTAACTATTTTCCAAGAATTTCGAAAAAAGGAAAATTGAATTTTTCCACGTATAATCGAAGATCTATTTTTATAGATGGAATTTTATGGTGTATCATCGCCTTCATACCGCCTGTGACATATTGCCGCAGACGGCATGTAAATCATGCTCTGTAATATAGAGAGATGCGCTCAAACTCGTACGCATACACATTCATATGCGAATGTGTATGATGCAGCCAGAGCAAGAGATATATATATATATATATATAGAGAGAGAGAGAGAACTTCTCTGGCCATACGTTATTAGAGCAGATGCGAAACGGAGGTTCTGATAGGAGGCTGGACCAGCCGAGATCCCCATGTTTGGAGCAGTTACGAAACGGTACGCAGCCAGAGACCAGATTTGATATGATGGCATTGTATGTACTTCCGAAACGGGCAAGAACAACGTCCACACTCGGATAACGCATCATGATGCCCCATGCGTGTAAGTGATCTAACGAGCTAAACGAGATTTCAATCTATTTCTATCTTATTTACATTGTTAATATAAACTTTTAATCTATGTTTACTAAAGCTTTTTTTACTGATCAATACAATGTATAATATATACCATATAAATATTAAATGGTTTTTTTTTGAATACCCTGCATATATTTAGTTAGACGTTCATTTTTCAGAATAATTCTTATTTTTCTTTTATTTTTTGGTTTATTTTTTTATTTTTATAGAACGTATGTTATTTGAATAAAAGAGTCAATTGAATAATAGAAAAGATATTTTTAAAAAATTATAAAAAACAATTTGAAAGTTCATAAAGTTCAGTTTAACGAAATTCATTGAAATCGATCTATGATTAAAATGTGAAAGTATGGGCTTTCCGAAATAAACGACACGCAGAGATACAATACTATATATATGTACTGTCCAAGCTCACAACCGAGCAACGCGTCGCTTTTCTCGTTGATGCATTCGTCGACGTTTGTTTTGTGATTCAGCTCAGCATCCCTTTTCATCTCTTCTCTCTTTCACCCCCTCCCTCTCTCTCTCTCTGACAGTCTGTCTGTCGTGTATCTACGTACACGCGTCTAGATAACGCGACTATTCACGTGTCAATTGTAGGTGGAATTTCCGCTCGGCAGGCAAATTTCAACTTCCGATAGTGTTTCACCGAAATAAACCGACGAACGTAATCCGAACGTGGCCTCTCATGCGAACACCGATTTCGTGGCTCTTCCTTTAGACGTATGTATACCATGGGATTGTTGAGTATGCATATGGGCGAGAGAGAGAGAGAGAGAGAGAGAGAGAGAAAAAGAAAATAAAAACTGCGTTTGACGTAAAATTTCGGAAAATTAATCGTAGCGTGAAAATCAACGAATCAAATAAACTAACAAAGGAATTAAACAAGAAAATATAGATAATTATTACTTACTTCATCAACAATATGTTATTATTCATATCATAATTGACCGATCAAACGAGCCCGCCGAAGTTTGTTCCAGATTATAGTCTGAGAGCTGAGTGGTAAGAAAATGCAACAGTTTTCTAAAACCTGATATTTCGATATTATGTAGTATTTAGAGGGTATAGCAATAGCCTGCCCTCAGTCAGCCAGTTCCTTTTGCGATTAGCGGGGGGACGGCTTCAAAGTTGTGAAAAAACCATGTATGTCGCAACAGTTTTCTAAAATCTCAAAATTAGTATACAAGTTTTTAATAATAGGAAAAATCAAAAAAACTTAGTCAGCCCGGATTTTTATTTAACATACGCTGTCAGCAGCCCATACAAAAGCGCGCCGCGCGCATCATTTATAGTCCAAGAGATGAGTCGAGCGCGTAATTTAGGCTTTATCTGGCTTGTTTTTCTACTGAGTAGAGACAATTACTTTTTTTTTCAGAACAGTTTAATAACTTTACTCTTACTTCTCTTTTATTACTTGTTATGTGCACGCATGCAGCGTAACGAGCTAAACGCTATGAGAACCCAGATTGACGTCAGGTGCGACGTTAGGATGTTATCCACAACTTCGGCCTTATGACTTCACCCATGATCAAAGTCAATGAAGGATAGTCTCTACCCTCTGCTGGGACTCGATCCTATGATGGTTAGTACGTAATGGTACCAGTAGGACGTCCCACATCATGCCAGTAAACATCGCGAGCGGTTAACCGACAGTATGAAACGCAAATTCAACTACGAGCTTTTTAACCGCAATAACTTTAATATACGCTATTGGAGCTGGAATTACCGCGGCTACTGGCACCAGACTTGTCCTCCAATGGATCCATGGTAAAGGATTTAAAGTGTACTCATTCCGATTACAGGGCCTCGGATGAATCCCGTATCGTTATTTTTCGTCACTACCTCCCCGTGCCGAGAGTAGGTAATTTGCGCGCCTGCTGCYTTCCTTGGATGTGGTAGCCGTTTCTCAGGCTCCCTCTCCGGAATCGAACCCTGATTCCCCGTTACCCGTTACAAACATGGTAGGCGCAGAACCTACCATCGACAGTTGATAAGGCAGACATTTGAAAGATTTTTCGCTGGTTATTGTAATTATCTATTTCACTTTTTTTTTGGGTAAGGATCAGGAAGGGAGACTATCATCTTCGAACGAGACATTTCATATTATCTTGATCAAACGAGCCCGCCGAAGGCTCGTTTGGGCTCGTTTGATCGGTCAATTTTATTACGTGTCTCGTTCTAGGTGATAGTAAAATGTAGTTCTTTAAAGATTAAGTGATAATTTTTAATCTCTTCTAATATTGATCTCATTGGCACACTTTTATTGCACTCATTTACCAAATAGTAAATATTAGCCTTATCTCTGTAGAAAAATAAATCTTATATACTTATTCTAAAATTGCTTTGGCAAACTGATTACTAGGAGTCAGAATTGATCAGCAGCACATAAACGCGATGTGGACATTTCGGTCATAACGCGCAGCGCGGGTTGGTCTCCAGACTCTTAGACCTTCTTCAGGTTCTATAAGACTAGCAACATCCCCATGGATCGAAGAATATAAACTATCGGTTTTGTGATTTTTGTAAACACGTACGGGCTAGTGCATAGCCCAAACGGAAGACATAAAAATTGGTATAGCTTTCCTTTAAATCTAAACCTTAAGAATTTTCTATAATTTAAATGGATCGAGACTAACAGATATGCATCTTGGAGATCCATAGTCCCCAGAAAGTTTCCCGGAGACACGAGGCCCAAATTTGACCTAATATCTTCTAGCTTAAAATGCGGAGGATCGATAAATTTATTTAACTCCTTTAGATTAAATATAAAACGATTTGAACTATCCGGTTTCGGAACTAGAAAATAAGGAGAAACAAATTGCCCCTCACACTCTTCACATACTTCGATTGCACCTTTATTTAATATCCATTAATAAATCCATTTCTATCTGAATTTTTTCCGTCTCTTTGACAGAAAAATTCTTTTCCCCCGCAGGAAATTTTTGAAATGGTACCTGAGTAAACGGAATCTTATATCCATTTATGTAACTTAAGGGTTCATTCTGGTTTATACGCCGAAAAAAAAGGCTATTTTCACGATTTTTTTTTAGGCTTTGTAGGATACATATACATATGAAAGTTGTTGGGTATGATAAATACACTTTATAAGTACAAGAAAAAAATTTTTTTATTGTTTTTAACGTTTTTTGACATCCAAAATGGTTGACAAACGTGAACCCGTCAAAAGTAGGTATGCTGTTGGCGGGCATCGAAATTTAAGAACGGGTGATCTAAAACAAAAAAATTAAACGGTTTTAAATTBAGTATGACAATGGCTATCGGGTATGCTAAAACTATCAATTTTTATGAAAACAGAACAAAATGACGGCCATTTTTCGAAAAAGAAAAAAATCGTTGATTTTTTTCGCAGTTATTTGTAAAAAAAAAATAGTAAAAATTAATATTTTGACTTGGTTGTAGCATGCGAGATAGCCATTCATGTGTAGAGTATGTGGTTTAAATTTCAGAAGGATCGGTTGAGTAGTTTCGGAGATATCATGCCCGCCAACCGAAAAAACGTTGTTTCGAGAAAAACGCGTTTAAAGTTTCTTTTAACAAATTTTTAAAAAGTYTRACWYTAYCTTATTCTGCGATGCCTGCACCATACAGTATGCCTTCTGCTTCTTCAAAATACTCATTTTCTTTCACTCTAGCCTTTTTTTATTGTGTCCTGGCCTCTATCAAAGCTTCTCCGCTCAAACAATTGGCTGAGCGCACGCGCGTATTGCCGCGGTTACTAGCGTAATTGACTGCGATAGGGCCAAGTTTTATCACCAAAACGTGCATTATTTTCAATATTGGATCAAAACTTTCGTTGAATATACAAGCTGCCAATTTAAAAGCTATTTCAACAATTTTTTTACCATTAAATAGGTGTTTAGGCACCATAGCCCAAACGCATTTGTTGAAGCACTCATTATTATTTTAAATGTGAGGCCACTTAAACATCTTTCTAGTAATTCTGTTTTTGTCAGGTCAATATCAACCTTTTGTTTTTTGCTGCTATATTCATGCAGAGACATTTCCACTTACACCATCGCAGATGGTTTGTCTCCTCTATCTGGAATATCTCTATGTGTTTGGGTCGCAAAATAATATACTTAGACTGCTCGGATCGTTCTAAAATTTTTGTATGATAATTCTACATAAGTCTACTTTCGAAAAATGCAAAAAAAAAAAATTAATTCTTTCAAAATGATAAACCAGAATGAACCCTTAAGACAAATTTGTCAGTAGTAATCTCTTTCCACTTATCCTCAAATAATCGTAAACGACCTGCTATTTTATTTACCTTCTTCACTTCCTCGATGGCGACTGGCTCGTCATCCGGGATGTTGACTTGGACTGACGCTGATACGTCATGTGTGATCTCGGTTTGAACTTCAAGGACCGATATCTCTGGCTCTGGCCCACCTGACGGTAATTCGCAGGTGGGCATTTTCCGTTTCCCTGGCCTCGTGATTTAGAAGATATTTTGGCTGCAGAACTTTCTTTAATATCCGCGCATGCCTTTTCTATCTTCTTAACATCCTTGACTTTGTTCTTGAAGTCGTCACCGTATAGCCATTCATTTGATAACATCGAGCCGACTATCGGCTTGATGTTCTTGTTTAAATGCGGAGTAATGAACGACTTCCTGGCTACCGACTGTTGGTAAAAGACGTCTATGAGGATCTGACCGGCATGACTTATGTAGTCGGTAAGGAGATCCTCGTCAACTCCTTCTTCGGGTTGTTCTAACAACATGGAGACAGCGGCACTCAAAGCAGATATAGCCGTACCAACACAATTCTGAGTCTCAGCAAAATGCTGATCTCGCTTTTTTGCTGTGTCGGCAAGCAACGGTACTATCTCCAGGTTCAATTTGGGAGATTCTGTATAAAAATCATCCTTTCTATTGTAGGCTTTCAGTATCTCTTTCTTGTTCTTCTCTGGAAGACCCTCAGTTTTCCACTTCAACCAGATATTTTTTAATTCTGAATGATATCTTACGTCTTTAAACGTACAGTCGTCAATATCCATTCCTAAGACCTTCAAGATGAAGTCTTTAGCTGGTTCTTGCCCCGCTTGGTCTTTTTCGTCACTCTCGATCTGCTCAGCCTCTGAAGTATCCTTCACGGTATTTCCGATATCAGGATCATTTTCTTTATTACTTTCAGCATCTGAGAATTACGAAATAAAAAATTAGCAAGGTATTCTTTGTGCACTTGTGATACTTGTGTTCTTGTTGAACTCAGTCACAAATTGGCATGGTCATATGGACCTGGTGATATTTGTGATCTTGTTGAACTCAGTCACAAATTGGCATGATCATATGGACCTGGTGATATTTGCGTTCTTGTTGAACTCAGTCACAAATTGGCATGGTCGTATGGACCTGGTGATATTTTCGTTCTTGTTGAACTTAATCACAAATTGGCATGATCGTATGGACCTGGTGATATTTGTGTTCTTGTTGAACTCAATAACAAATTGCCATGGTCGTATGGACCTGGTGATGCCGTGTGGGCAAACACCTCCCAACTTTCGTGTGGAAAGTTAAGATGATTTCTAATAATTAAAAGCATAATTAAGCTTACCTTCAATAATCTCTACAGTACTCGGTACTTTATTAGTACTAGCTGGTGAAAATTCTTCTTTTTGAACTTCCACCAATGCCTCAACAATTTTTGTGAGGTTATCCACGCGAGAACTGAGTTTGTCCAATTTGTCGTCTTTCCTGCGCTTCGAATCTCGTGATCGAGATCTTGATCAAGATCGTGTTTTTGAGCGCTTTTTTCCCATGTCGAATTTAACTTTAAAAACCTTTATTAATTACTTTAAAAATTTTAATTACTTATTCAACAGTTGCGAAAAACGTGTTGATGCTTCAGCACTACGAAACAATATGAATAAAGAGGGCGCATGGCATAAAGAGAGCGCATGTCGAGATAAGATGGCGGGGAGCGCCAAGATTTGAATTTAAGCGTTGAACGTTGTGGATGAAAGCATGACAAGCATGACTACATTTTACTATCATCAAGAACGAGACACGTAATATAATGTCTATTTCGTAAAGGGACGTAACCAGAATAAACAAAAAAAGTTAGAAATTCATGATTAATTGTAAATATGTAAAATAATCTATATACGTATATATACATATTTATATAAGGTATCAAAAATCAAAATGGTTACAGATTAAATTTACTTAAACGTTTAAAAATTGATCGATTAAACGAACTTACCTGTAAGTGAAGTTCAATCGAAATTGTATGTAGGGCCTCTTCCTCGAGATCACATGGTAGATGTTTAAAGCTACATTACGACATCGTTTACATAAAGTCCCAATCGACCTATCTCAAGTGTAAACTATAGAACAAACTTAGTCGACTCTTACTAAAATAATTAAACTTGTGATTCATTAATCCTTTTACATAAAACAAAGAATAAAAGTAAAAGAAAAACTTAGAGTAATTTTATATTATAATTTTAGTATGGCGTTGGCAAATGTACTATCATCATCTGTAATATTCAAGTCATAAAACTTGGCAAAGGTTTCTGATGCCTTCGTCCAGCCCGCTGTTGCTCTAATTGTGTCTATATTGACACCCATACGTTTTACCGCAGATGTTGAAGCGTGCCGAACACTGTATGCTGTAAATGCGTCAGTATTGATTCCACTATCTTTTAGTACACTTTTGATCCACCTACTTAATGTCTGAGTGCCTACTGTTTTGTGTGGTTTTTTGTGTGATAAAAATAAAGTTTCAATTTTTTCACGAATTTCTCGCGTTTTTTCTATATAATCCATTAATGTTTGAGCAGTACAAATCTCTTTTCTTTCAAAAAATGGCGAAGTCAGTACTGGCTGTTTTCTTTTTGGGCCAAAAGTTTTTATTTGAGCAGGAATCCTTATTTATAATTTATCTTCTTTAATCAATATATTCTTAATGTTAATAAGTGATAACGTTTGTATACAATGTCCAGTAAATAGAGCTAACAACGTTACTAATGTTTTAGATAATTGCTCCAAGGAGATGTTATTGTTAGGTGTCTGTGTGCCAAGGAAAAGTAGAACAACTTTCGGATCCCATGTAGAATTATACTTAGGTAATTATGGACGAAGTTTATATGCACCTTTGCAAATTCGTTTTATCCCTGAATTTTCTGCTATTTCAGGTCCAAAAAGGAAGGATAAAGCTGATCTATAAGTATTAATTGACGTATACGAAGCTCTGTTCAAAAACTCTTCTGCTAAAAAATCTTGTACTTCTGTTAAATTTAACTTCAAACAATTCAACTTCTTTCTAGAATAAAATTGGTGCCATTTTTTGATTGGATATTCAAACTGTCTTAGCGTTGAGTCAGTAACCGAAGCCAGGGCTATATTTACTACGTTGACAGACATTCCTCTCCTTGCGAACGCCTTTTTGATAAAATCCCTGCTATTAAAGTTAACTGTGGCCACAGTGGATGGGGTTATCTGTTAGAAGAAGTCASTAAATTAATATTTGGACTGAATTTTATCGGTTTTGATTCAATCATCTCCATGAACAATGGGTACCAAGTTTGCTACGGCCAGTCTGGAACTACGAAATTCCACGTAAACCTTCTTGGTTTATTTTCATTAAGACCTTAGAAATTAATGAAAAAGGAGGAAAAGCGTAAAAGAAGTGCTGCGTCCAATTAACCGTAAATGCATCAATTGCAATTAAACCTGGATCTTTTTTCTATGAAATGTATGCGTCACATTTTTTATTGACTCGGCTCCCAAATAAGTCTATATCGGGTTTATCAAGAAGTTTTTTAATTTTTTGGAAGGCGTAATCTGATAATTCATACTCTGTCTCTGATTCTAGTCGTCGAGATTCGAAATCAGCGTTAGCATTATCTTTGGAACGGATATAAAAAGCAAAAAGCCAAATATTGCGACGTTCGCACCACATCCACATTTTCTTTGCCAATTYACTCATTGCTTTACTATATATTCCACCCATTTGATTAATATATGCAATGGCAGTTGTATTATCAACTCTTAAGAGTATATTACAGTTACTCGATTTGTTATCGAAGCTTTTGAGAGCTAAACAGGCTGCTAAAATTTCTAAATAATTAATATGGAATTTGCGCTCTTCGTAAGACCAGTAACCGTGAACTCTTTCATTTTGACAATAAGCCCATCCGGTTAACAAAGAGTTCGAGAAAATCTCTAGTGCGAATTCCAAGATACGTATCGGTTTGATTATTGTACATATATTAGTTTCCCACCACTTAAAATCATCAAGTAACTGAGAACTGATTTCCATAAAGGCTTCATAACTACCGTGGCATTTTTCCAGAGCCTTAATGTTTTCTCTCTCAAAATTTTTTAAATATGCCCATCCATAAATTGATGCTTAACAACAAAAGCCAAGAGAACCGATAAATGAGCGAAATCTCGAATTTGGCATTTTTTGATTTGTTTAAATTTAATAATAAGTTTAAGTGCATTTAAACGTTTCTCTGTGGGCAGTTCAATTTGCATTTTTTTCGAGTTTAGAAGAACAAAACCTAGAAAGGTGCATATTTGTGAGAGAGATAGTTTACTCTTCTTATAGTTAATAATAAATCCAAGGTATTCTAATAATGAAACTGTCTGTTCAATATTGTTTAAACAACTAATTCGTGATGTACTGATTAAGAAAATATCAACCAGTTAAATAACAGATAATAAACTCTTTTTTCTTAGGAATGTAATAATTTGTTTCATTATTTTTGTAAAAACTAGCGGTGCACAATTTAGTCCAAAGGGTAAACCGATAAATTCATAAATTTGGTCTTGAAATATAAAACGCAAAAATTGTCTGTGTTCTTTCCATATAGATAATGCGTAGTAGGCATTCTTCAAATCTACCGCTGCCATATAGCATCCTTGATGCATAAGTTTTTTAGCTGTTCTAACATTTTCCATTTTAAAGTCAGCAATATCTATAAATTTGTTAAGATATTTTAGATTTAATATTAGACGACCAGAACCATCGGGTTTAGGAATTAGAAAAATATTTGATATGAATTGGCCTTCTTTAGGGCTACATTTTTTAATTACTCCCTTTAACAGCAATTTGTTTATTTGCTTAAATATTGTTTCAATTTCATTTTTTGACCAAGAAGGTTCACTAGGAGGTCAATCTTGATAAGCTTTTGTTTTAAAAGGTATTTTAAAACGTTTGATTGAACTTAAAATCCAAGAATTAGAAGTAACCTTCTTCCATCCTTCGGAAAATTTACTCAGTCTGCCTACAAGAATACTTACGTTCTCTAGTTCTGCCTCCTTTGAGGTTTGCTGCTCAATGATTGAGCCTTGTGGCGAGGAGACTGGCGGTATTTGTATTGCCCGCCCCACGACTTCCTCTGGCGGCGTGGTTGAGCATACTTCCTGCTTGTCTGTTGAGGCGGGCGATTGGAGTTTTTTGAGTAACTTTTACCTTGAGTTTTGACTGTTAGCTTTAATTTCATGGCCGACTTTTTGAGAAGTTCCGTTGCTTTTAATTTTTCATTAAGCTGCTTACCAAAAAGAAATTCGTCTACTTCTGCAGCCTTGAGCGCTTCTTTTAGAGATGCTTTAATTTTGTTTAAAATTAACGAACGCCTAGTTATAGTTTCATCTCTTTGTAAATCGACAAGCATTCTACTAGTGTCGCTAATTTTTTTGATTAGATCGATAGTTTTTACTTCTTCTTTACTCAGAAGTTGAGACAAAATATGCCCCAATATTGACAAACAAGCGAAGACTTTTTCTTGCTTCGCAACAAGCCGATTGTCGCGACTCAAAACAGATTCGTGAACGGAAACCTTTAATTTACTGTTGAGTTTAGGAGCTTCTATAAATTTTATATTAACTGGTTGAGGATGTTTATTTAGTAATTCCGCTTTTACCTCGCCCGGCAAGCCATCTTTATAAATTTCTTCCCAGCGTATTTGTATATCTTGGTGAATTGGCTCTGCAACTTTTTTATCTAATCTTAGTCGCTTACCAATTTTTAATAACGTATTATCATCCAGAGCTATATCATCTTTGGCCTGCTGAGCAGCTTTTGACGCCTCATCACTGAGGTTAGATATAGCTGAGCCGCTATTCCCATCGTTTTTATTTGCCGCTATCTCGCGTTGCTTAGTTATTAATCGCTGTCTTAAATAACACTCGTCTTTAGGACGAGAGCGACTGCGCGAGCGGGAGCAGGAGCGAGAGTGCTTGCTTGACAGTGATCCCAGAGACTTTAGTTCGTCTGATCGACACAGTGGCGTAAAATTATCGTACGCGTACGATAATTATCGTACGAATGGGATCACTGCGAGGAAGAGGCACGAAATACAATTATATTAATCATAGACTACTTCTATTAAAAATCGAGATTTGGAAGGTGTTATTTTTAAAAATCAGTTTGGCCGATCGTTACATTTTTTTCAATTTTCTTTTCTCAAACGATAGGAGTAAGGATGGAAAGGAAGAAACAAAGAGAGAGAGGCAGAGAATTAAAAAATTTTTTTTACATCTTCCTTTCTATTTATAGGCGGAAGATAATTTCTCAAGATAAAAGAAATATCTCTACTGCGTACCTGAATAGAAAAAGGGAGGATGAGTATTTGTAATAAAAACTTGTTATCGAGCACATATCCAGAATGGGATAACAAAGAACGAGTTTGAATAACGCGCGCAGAGGTATTGACACGTGGAATTTTTTTTCTTTCTCTCTCATTCTCTTTCTCCTTTCTCTCTCTCCTTTCTCTCTCTATAACATTTCTTCTTCTTTTAGAAGAAAAGTACCAGCGCATAAATGTTCTTTCTCTCTCGTCTCAATATTACTCTTTATTTCTGTAGTGCTTCCATTGTTAATAATAGAGACAA